GGAAGTGACTCGAAGTTACTCGATGGACAGGTGGAGAAGAGGACGACAGCTCCGCCGGCGGCTGCATCACCAGAGGCGACGCCGCCGCCGCTGTTGCCGCATTTGGCGGCACTCGAATGACAAGTGGGAAGGAAGTGACTCGAAGTGACTCGATGGACAGGTGGAGAAGAGGACGACAGCTCCGCCGGCGGCTGCATCACCAGAGGCGACGCCGCCGCCGCTGTTGCCGCATTTGGCGGCACTCAAATGACAAGTGGGAAGGAAGTGACTCGAAGTGAATCGATGGACAGGTGGAGACGAGGACGACAGCTCCGCTGGCGGCTGCATCACCAGAGGCGACGCCGCCGCCGCTGTTGCCGCATTTGGCGGCACTCGAATGACAAAAGTGGGAAGGAAGTGACTCGAAGTTACTCGATGGACAGGTGGAGAAGAGGACGACAGCTCCGCCGGCGGCTGCATCACCAGAGGAGACGCCGCCGCCGCTGTTGCCGCATTTGGCGGCACTCGAATGACAAGTGGGAAGGAAGTGACTCGAAGTGACTCGATGGACAGGTGGAGAAGAGGACGACAGCTCCGCCGGCGGCTGCATCACCAGAGGAGACGCCGCCGCCGCTGTTGCCGCATTTGGCGGCACTCAAATGACAAGTGGGAAGGAAGTGACTCGAAGTGAATCGATGGACAGGTGGAGACGAGGACGACAGCTCCGCTGGCGGCTGCATCACCAGAGGCGACGCCGCCGCCGCTGTTGCCGCATTTGGCGGCACTCGAATGACAAACGTGGGAAGGAAGTAACTCGAAGTTACTCGATGGACAGGTGGAGAAGAGGACGACAGCTCCGCCGGCGGCTGCATCACCAGAGAAGACGCCGCCGCCGCTGTTGCCGCATTTGGCGGCACTCGAATGACAAAAGTGGGAAGGAAGTGACTCGAAGTTACTCGATGGACAGGTGGAGAAGAGGACGACAGCTCCGCCGGCGGCTGCATCACCAGAGGAGACGCCGCCGCCGCTGTTGCCGCATTTGGCGGCGCTCGAATGACAAGTGGGAAGGAAGTGACTCGAAGTGACTCGATGGACAGGTGGAGAAGAGGACGACAGCTCCGCCGGCGGCTGCATCACCAGAGGCGACGCCGCCGCCGCTGTTGCCGCATTTGGCGGCACTCAAATGACAAGTGGGAAGGAAGTGACTCGAAGTGAATCGATGGACAGGTGGAGACAAGGACGACAGCCCCGCTGGCGGCTGCATCACCAGAGGCGACGCCGCCGCCGCTGTTGCCGCATTTGGCGGCACTCGAATGACAAAAGTGGGAAGGAAGTGACTCGAAGTGACTCGATGGACAGGTGGAGAAGAGGACGACAGCTCCGCCGGCGGCTGCATCACCAGAGGCGACGCCGCCGCCGCTGTTGCCGCATTTGGCGGCACTCGAATGACAAGTGGGAAGGAAGTGACTCGAAGTGACTCGATGGACAGGTGGAGAAGAGGACGACAGCTCCGCCGGCGGCTGCATCACCAGAGGAGACGCCGCCGCCGCTGTTGCCGCATTTGGCGGCACTCGAATGACAAAAGTGGGAAGGAAGTGACTCGAAGTGACTCGATGGACAGGTGGAGAAGAGGACGACAGCTCCGCCGGCGGCTGCATCACCAGAGGAGACGCCGCCGCCGCTGTTGCCGCATTTGGCGGCACTCGAATGACAAAAGTGGGAAGGAAGTGACTCGAAGTGACTCGATGGACAGGTGGAGAAGAGGACGACAGCTCCGCCGGCGGCTGCATCACCAGAGGAGACGCCGCCGCCGCTGTTGCCGCATTTGGCGGCACTCGAATGACAAAAGTGGGAAGGAAGTGACTCGAAGTTACTCGATGGACAGGTGGAGAAGAGGACGACAGCTCCGCCGGCGGCTGCATCACCAGAGGAGACGCCGCCGCCGCTGTTGCCGCATTTGGCGGCACTCGAATGACAAAAGTGGGAAGGAAGTGACTCGAAGTGACTCGATGGACAGGTGGAGAAGAGGACGACAGCTCCGCCGGCGGCTGCATCACCAGAGGAGACGCCGCCGCCGCTGTTGCCGCATTTGGCGGCACTCGAATGACAAAAGTGGGAAGGAAGTGACTCGAAGTTACTCGATGGACAGGTGGAGAAGAGGACGACAGCTCCGCCGGCGGCTGCATCACCAGAGGAGACGCCGCCGCCGCTGTTGCCGCATTTGGCGGCACTCGAATGACAAGTGGGAAGGAAGTGACTCGAAGTTACTCGATGGACAGGTGGAGAAGAGGACGACAGCTCCGCCGGCGGCTGCATCACCAGAGGCGACGCCGCCGCCGCTGTTGCCGCATTTGGCGGCACTCGAATGACAAAGTGGGAAGGAAGTGACTCGAAGTTACTCGATGGACAGGTGGAGAAGAGGACGACAGCTCCGCCGGCGGCTGCATCACCAGAGGAGACGCCGCCGCCGCTGTTGCCGCATTTGGCGGCACTCGAATGACAAGTGGGAAGGAAGTGACTCGAAGTGACTCGATAGACAGGTGGAGAAGAGGACGACAGCTCCGCCGGCGGCTGCATCACCAGAGGCGACGCCGCCGCCGCTGTTGCCGCATTTGGCGGCACTCGAATGACAAGTGGGAAGGAAGTGACTCGAAGTGACTCGATGGACAGGTGGAGAAGAGGACGACAGCTCCGCCGGCGGCTGCATCACCAGAGGCGACGCCGCCGCCGCTGTTGCCGCATTTGGCGGCACTCGAATGACAAGTGGGAAGGAAGTGACTCGAAGTGACTCGATGGACAGGTGGAGAAGAGGACGACAGCTCCGCCGGCGGCTGCATCACCAGAGGCGACGCCGCCG